ATAGTAGAGTGTATATGTTAATCCCAAACTCCTAATTTATCCCTCCGCCCTCCCCCTGCAAAGGAATGCATTTTAAATAAACTAAGACAATCATGGTTGTCGGTATTTGTTTCAGGCATGCAAATGTGATACAGTTCTGTCCAGCGGGATGAAGGGAAGGCTGCCCAGTGTTTCCAGAAAAGGTTTTATCTTAAAAGGAGAGTATACTCCTGAATGCTTGTTGTTTGAAGCCACAGAAATTTTAGAGGTTGTTATAGCAGCGTAATCTAGCCAAAGCCCGGCTAACGCAAATAACTGAAACTGCTGCAGCCCTCTTATGAGGCATTAACCACCAAGAGCGTTTGCCTGAGACAGAACCAAGCTGACATGCAGAGATTAGCAAAGCAAATGATGGAAAGAACTTGAATTCTTAAGATATCTTTGAGCTATTGACTTAACCAAGCCTGGAGTTAGTTTTCCTCTGAATCTCTTATTGCATTAGATAACAAATTTCAGAGTTTAAACCAGTTAAATTGGGTATTTCTGTTACTTGAAGTCAAAATATCTTGGCTAAAATAGACTAATAGCCTGAAAAAGGAATGAAATCCTAACACATGCTACAGCAGAGGGGAAGACAGAGGGCAGTGGGGAGTGATTATTCCTCTAACTGAGAGTGATCTAACACCACCACTGGCTATGTGACAGATAAGCTAATTTGCCCAAATCAAGCTTGGGTTTTTCCACGCACATTCATTTGGTTGCTTGCACGTGACAACAGCAGCATTTGTTGGTTATGGGATTCAAAGGCCTGCGCATTGCAGTTACTAAGAGAACACAAACAGCTCAAGGTGGGACCTGACAGCCAGTTCAGCAGCTTTCACCTCATCAATGACCACAAGGCAGAGGAGTCCAAAGGATGATTTCTTTCAGCCCATGGCTGCCACGAAGGCTTGATGCTTGATGTGGTATTGGATCAGACTAAATGCACATCGTTTACTTAAACTGCTGGTATTCCTTCCATCTCAGATCTGTGGAAGCCACTGAATGTGATGGAAATGTGGTCCTACAGCTACAACAGCAGTCTGGAGCCTGTGGCTGGCTGGTTTTATTTTTAGGATTAAAGGGGATCTCCATCAAGCCTCTTTGTTTTATTCTGAACCTCAGTTTCCCAAATATAGGAAGGAGAATTCACAGCAGCTTGAGGGAGTGGCAAAAATCTGGGCTTCCTGGTCAGATGCGCCAGGATTTGAGTCAGCTTCAGCACCGTCTAGTTATATGACCTACGGTAAGTTACTTAACTCTTTGAGACTTGGTTTTTCCATCTATAATATTGGAATAATAAGAAATACCTGTTTATGTAATTACTTCATTCAACAGACATTTATTATTGGGTGTCTCCAACGTACGAGACAGTGCCCTAGATCTGAGTCCACAAAAGTGAGTGAAATAGACATAGCTCCTGTTCTCATGGAGCTTATGCTCTGTTGTGAGAAATAAATAACAGACACAAAGCACTTAGTACTGTGCCACTGTGCCTGGCTTTTAACAAGCACTCGGTAAATGTTTTGAGTTGACCAGAAATGTAATTATTGAAATTCAGTACCATTTTGATGTGCATGACCTCCTTTCTCATGCTCCCTCTCCTATCTCAGGGCCTTTGCACATGATATTCTCTGTCTGGGTTGTTCTTTCCTCAGCTATTCACATGCTCCCTCTCTCACTTCATTCATATCTATATTCAAATCTCGCCTCCTCAGAGAGGCCATTCCCAATCACTTATTAAAATAGCCCTCCATCCCTACCACATTCTACCCACAGGATCCTTTCAAAGGATCTATCTTGCTTTAAACCCATTCTTGATTGGTTTAAAAATCCTCTGTTAGTGATAAATTCCTATTAGATTCAGGGCAAATTTTTGTACTAAAGTCTCTACAATGTAATCATATCATAGAATTACATTTCAATATAATCATATTTCTAAAGATAGGTTTCAAAACACTTTAAATAAAATAAGAATGACCGGGACTTCCCTGGTGGTGCAGTGGTTAAGAATCCGCCTGCCTATGCAGGGGACACGGGTTCAAGTCCTGGTCTGTGAGGATCCCACATGCCACGGGGTGGCTGAGCTCGTGCGCCACAACTAGTGAAGCCCACGTGACTGGAGCCCATGCTCTGCAACAAGGAGGGGCCACTGCAATGAAGAGTGGCCCCCACTCGCCGCAACTGGAGAAAGCCCATGCACAGCAATGAAGACCCAATGCAGCCATAAATAAATAAATAAATAAATAAATAAATAAATAAATAAAATAAGAATGACCAATAAGCATATGAAAAGATGCCCGGAATCCCTAGTCATCAGGAAAGTTTTTTATTTTTTTAAATTTTTATTTATTTTTGGCTGCGTTGGGTCTTCATTGCTGTACGTGGGCTTTCCTCTAGTTGCAGCGAGCAGGGGCTACTCTTCATTGCGGTTGCTCGGGCTTCTCATTGCGGTGGCTTCTCTTGTTGTGGAGCACAGGCTCTAGGCGTGGGCTTCAGTAGTTGTGGCACGCAGGCTCAGTAGTTGTGGCTCGCAGGCTCTAGAGCGCAGACTCAGTAGTTGTGGCTCACGGGCTTAGCTGCTCTGCGGCATGTGGGATCTTCCCGGACCAGGGCTCGAACCCACGTCCCCTGCATTGGCAGGCGGATTCTTAACCACTGCACCACCAGGGAAGTCCCAGGAAAGTTTTTCAAACACTGATTCTATTAAGTGTTGGCAAGAACAGCTAGAATTCTCATACACTGCTGATGGGAATGCAAAATGGCACAGCAACTTTGGAAAACACTTCAGCAGTTTCTTGCATAGTTAAAACTATACACTTACAACCCAGCCAACCCACTCCTAGGTATTTACCCAAGAGAACTGAAAACATATATACATATAAAGACATATATGAATGTTCATAGCAGCATTATTCATAATTCATAAATTCACAAAAACTGGTAACAACCTAAATGTCTATCAACTGATGAATGGACAAATAAAAGATCATATAGCCATACAATGAAATACTACTCAGCAATAAAAAGGAACAAACTACTGATTCATGCTGCAACATGGATGAAGCTCAAAAGCATTATTCTGAGTGAAAGAAGTCAGGCTCAGAAAGCTACACACCATATTGTTCCAAGCATCTGACCTTCCAAAATCAGATGAGTAGTTATCTGGGGCAGGGAGGTGGGGAGAGGGTTGACTACAAATTGGCACCAGGGAATTTGGGGGGGATGCTGGAAGTACCTTGATTGTAGTGGTGATTACACAACTGTATACAATAGCTAAAACTCATCAAAATGTACAGTTAAGATGGGTGAATTTTATTGTGTGCAAATTATGCCTTAATAAAGCTGTTATAAAATTTTAAAACATATATATGCATAGAAAATGATTCCATACTTATCTCTTGTGGTGGGATTTGGGTGCTTTTTATTTTCTTCTCTTTCCTTATCTAAATTTTGTAAAATTTCCACAATGGAGTATTTGTGTAGAGAGAGAAAAACACCAACAATAAAATGCCAGAAACATAAATAATTGGCTTGTTCAACGAGAAGTCTATTGCTGATTCCACATTGTTTGCTTGCAGTGAAGCCCATTTGGGTCACCTCCTTCTCATCTATCTTTCCTCAGTGGCACTTCTGAGGGCTGAGCTGAGGAAACAGATGCAAAAAGGTACAGAGCTTAATAGCAATGCTTTGTCCATCCAGCTCTCAGTTTGGCTGTCACCTGGATTTTTGGATGAATACACAGAAGACTAATGATAGGGGGGCTGTCATCCTAGTTGCCAACTCTGTCCTCTATTCCAACCTAAGTCAACTCATGTGTCCTCCAGGCCCCAAGAGAAAGTCCTCGGCAGAGGGCTGGGCAGATTATGGTTTTTGGGGTCCAGGCCGGGCATCTGCCTCCAGCTCACGTTGGTCTGTTGAGTGCTGCATGGTCTTGGTCAAGTCAAGAGGCCATTCCTCAGTGGAGACCCACGATTAGAATGATCGCTCATGCTGCAAACGGCAGGACAGGATGCGGAGTCCCTTCAAGAGCTTCGCTGGGGTGGGGACGCTCAGGGTCAACAGGCCTCTGGCCCTTTTCCCCTATCACACATCCAGTTCATTTCCAAACGTGCTGCCTATGAAAGGGCAATCACCTTAGGCGACCCAACCAGCTTGTAGGCAAAGGATAGCACATGGGGTGAAATCCATATTGCTTGCCCTTGTGTGCCTTGGGGTAACTGGACAAGGCCCCTGACAGGGCCCAGGTGTTTGCTGGGTCACAGGATTCCAGCCAGGATAATAAACCTACACTTATAAAAATACCTTCATAAAATATGACCTCATGGAGGGAGCATACAATTTTCTAGCTACTCTAGTCAAGAAGTAAAGCCCAACAGAAGCTCAGAGCAGATGGGGTGGACACAGGGGAATGAGACAAATCATAGCTTTCCTTGAGCCTCAGCTTCATCACCCATAAATGCCGAGTTGGGAAAGATCCTGGGTCCCAACCTGCAGCATCTGTCCTCAGGGCTCACACACACCCTATCTTCAGGAGCTACTTCCAATATCTTGAAACTCCACACATTATTCACAATAGTCAAAATGAGGAAGCAACCCAAATATCCATCGATGGATGAATGGATGACCGGCATATACATATAATGGAATATTATCCAGCCTTTGAGAGGAAGGAAATTATGCACCTACTACGATATGGATGAACCTTGAAGACATTATGCTAAGTGAAACAAGCCGATCACAAAAGAACAAATCCTGTATGATTTCACCTGCATGAGGTACCTAGGGTAATCAAATTCACTGAGACAAAGTAGAATGGTGGTTACCAGGGGCAGGGAGGAATGGGGAGTTATTGATTAATGGGTACAGAATTGCAGTTTGGGATGTTAAAAAAAATTCTGGAAACGGATAGTGGTGATGGTTACACAGCAATGCAAAGGCACTTAACGCCACTGAACTGTACACTTAAAAATGGTTACATGGTAACTTTTATGTTGTATATATTTTGCCACATACACAAAAAAACAGACATTCCACAGGTACCCACAAGGCCTCACCCCTCATGAAAGCATCAAGTCATGCCTGATTCAAATCAAATCTGAACCAGCAGGCATAGCCTTTGACAGATTTTTTTTAAAGAAATAACCGTAACAGCAAATATATGAATTATGGCCTAGTGCAGGTTTGTTTTGTTTTGTTTTTTGTTTTGGCAGGCCCAATCTTTCAAAGCATGGCATCTTTGGGGGGAAGTAAAACAAAGGGGCCTTGATAGAAGTTTGGCTTGGGTGAGTGCCCTGGTCTCCCCTCAGCTGTAAAGGCAGTGATTTTGTGGTTGGGGAGACCATGCTAAGGGAGAAACACACACCAGAGGAGAGACCAGACAGTGTCTCCCAACAGATTCCCCCCTGCCACAGGGACAAGCATTTGGGTTTAAGAGGGCCCTTTCTCTGGTCTATTTTTAGAGCCTGGAGTCAGAGTTCTTTACAGCAAGCAGCCAGGAATCCTCTGGCCTATGTGACACAGAACACTGATACAGCACCAGAAATGGGGCCCACACATGCACTACCTAATGAGGGACAGGATGGCACACCCTTTCCTAAGACCCTCATCCATCACTCCCAGACACCTTGACCAGGGTGGGGTCATGATGGATCTTGGCAGCCTGCTCAGTACATGGGTCATAGAGAGCATACACAGAACAGCTCAGGCCAGATATTACAAGAGTAAATACAATAGACTCTCATTTCCCAGACCAGGAGCTTGAGGGTGGGGATTCTGGTTCTGTGAGCATTCTGGTTCACCATCAGGCAAAAAGTCTTTGTGGGAATTTCCAGCTCTCCTCCCCAATCCACCTTCCTTGAAAAGAAGGAAGGGGCGTGGGAAGAAACCAGAAGACAAATTCTAACCCAAACCCTGCCCCTCTGTGGCTCGTGACCTTGGTCCCTTTGAGCCTCAGTTACTTTGTAAAACAGCAACATCTCCTTCAGCCTCATTTGTATGGATCAGATGAGACTGTCTGGCGACATGCTCGGAGAACACACTGTACAGTGGCTTAGGAATTTTCTTCTGCCCCTACATCTAGTACTTAGAATGGAGTAAACAGGGTTAAGTCTTAAGTCATTGTGTGTCGATTAAGGAGACTACTGGAGCCTCGGAGTCACATTCTCTGCCCTGGAAATGTTTCTTTTTTATTCACTAAAATTCTGGCAGCAGTGCGTTTTCTATAGAGATGAGGGGGAAATACCCAGTTAACTGCAGATTACTGGAGCCGTGCAAGGATCACAAGGTGATCCCAATTCCTCCCACCTCCTGGAGAGAAGCCTCTCTCTTCAAGGTGATGCAGATATGCTGGGTGAGAGCCAGAGCAAACAAGGGATGGTCCCCATCCCTTTTTAGGGCACACAAGTTATCCATGACAGGGAGAGGTTTAGTGTTTGTCATCCCAGAGGCCCCAGAAGACACCATAGCTTTGGTTGGCCAACTTCTCCCCTGCAGTCCCCTGGAAGGAGCAGGGAAAGAGGCCTTGGGGAAGGCTTATACTTGCAGCTCCAGTGAGCAGATGTGTTTCGGAAGGCTGAAACTGGGTGCTATGCCCTACCTTCCTCCTGTCCATGAATAAATAAACTGATGCTTCTTGTGGCCTTGCAGCTGCCTGTCGCACTGTGAGCTCTCACCTGGGCCGCCGTGATGGTGGTGGGCCCTATGAGTAGAGGAGGGAGGACAGAGACCCACCCTTCTCTGGGTTCAGACCCAGAGTGCCTGAAACTGATGCAGCCTCCCCAGGGCTAGTTCCGCAGCTGCTCATACATGACGTCCTGTAAATGGTACTTTGGGGAGAAGAGAATGGCCCTGGACACTTCCTGGAACAAACAAGACAAACCTACACAGAACACACTATGTTCTGGGAAGGGATCAGGGGAGTGGCTTCAATCATACATACAGGACACCAGGACGTGGACACCAAGCATCCGATGGACAGGCCAGCCTTGCTTTTCACTTTTTCCCAGCTGCCTAATTAGGATTTACACTTTTCACTGTGTTCACCTTCCGGGGGTCCTTCTGGAGACAGCTGGAGATGGTCAAAACCATCAGGCACTGGAGGCACACAGACTCCTGTAGGGTTTCCAGCTGAGACTGGGCTAGCCGCATCTCTTCTAGCCTCAGTTTCACGTCTTCAGAAGGGGGATGAAAAACCCCTATTCTGAAAGCGTTTTGAGAATTCAGTGAGATGATGCCGGTGGCTTCTACCACACAGAAGGGTTTTCGGGGAATAAGGCTCCTCTCCCCTTACCCTCCTTTGCCTCTGTTTGAGGGGGGAGGTGGCAGAGAAGATTCCACTAGCAACTAACTGCTCACTGCCTTGTATTTGAGAGGGAGGCACATGGTACCCTCTGCTAACACCACACCAGGCCGCTAGCATGCCTGGGTGTCACGTGTCCAGCCGGGGCCCTCGGGTTCAGGGGCCGGCCCTCCATGTCCCACTCAAACGCCCCAGGCTGGTATGGTGAGGGGTGTATGGGAAAAGCCGGGACCCTCGGCGGCCAAGCCAGGGGGGGCCACGTGGCCACTGTGCAGCTGGAGGCGGCCGGGCCTGGGGGCCCCGCTGCTCGAGCCCGACTTGGAGGTTAGGCCCGAGTCGCTGGGCTGCACCTCCACGAAGACCCGCGTGCGCAGGAGCCCGCTGGGACGCCTCCCGGTGGCTCCCCCACGGCGGCGGGCAGAGCTGGGCGCGGAAGGCGGCCTGGAAGCCGCGGCGGAAGTTCTCGTTGAAGTAGCCGTAGATGATGGGGTTGGCGCTGCTGTTGAAGAAGGCCAGCCAGTGGGCTAAGGGGAAGGCGTAGACGGTGACCAGGTGCAGCTGCGGCTCGCTCAGCTGCCCGTAGTCGATGAGCAGCAGCAGGGCCCAGAGAGGCAGCCAGGACAGCGTGAAGAACAGCGCCACCATGACCAGCATGTGCACCACCCGGGCCCTGCGCCGGGCGCCGCGGCCGCCCTCCCCGGCTGCCTCCTCGCCGGCGCGCGCGGGCCCCGGGGCCTTGCACAGCTTGCGGGCGATGCGCGCGTACATGACCACGATCAGCGCCAGCGGCGCCAGGTAGATGTGCGAGAAGAGCACGGCCGTGTAGACCCTGCGCATGCCCTTCTCGGGCCAGGCCTCCCAGCACGAGTAGAGCGGGTAAGAGCGGTTGCGGGCGTCCACCATGAAGTGGTGCTCCTCGCGCGTGACGGTCAGCGTGACGGCCGAGGGGCACATGATGAACAGGGCCAGGGCCCAGATGACCGCAATGGTGACCAGCGCCTTCCGCAGGGTCAGCTTCTCGCGGAAAGGGTGCACGATGCAGCGGAACCTGCGGCGACGGAGGAAAAAGAAGCGGGGGTCTGGGCGGGTCCCAGTGGCCCCACGGATGAGAGCCATCCCCGATTGAGGGCGGAGGGCTGGGAGCGGGGGTAGGGGCACTCCACCTTCGACCTTGCACCTTAGGCGGCATCAAAGAAGGCTCAGATGTTAATTAAGTTCGTTTGCAAGCAAACTGGTTTCTCACCTGTTGGGGAGTCAGCTCCTCGGCTGAGTAGCCACGCAACAAAGGCAAAAGGAGGGTTTTACAAGAGCTGAATCCTGTTTGTGCACTTCGGGGGATAAACATTAGCTGGCAGGTGTAAGGTCGGATCTTAACAAAGGGCACCGCGAAACAGAGGAAAGCTTCAAGTGAGCTTTATTAGGGAGCGCTCCAGGGCGAGGTTCACTGGTCCGAGAGAAAGGGGCCAGAGAAGTCGCACCCGGGCGAGGGTTGGGCAAGATTTTACAGGGCAAGAAGGGAAAGGGGTGTGGTGAATCTGGGAGGGCGCAGGGTATTCCTTATTTGGTGGTCTTTTCGGGTATCCCGGGGGACCGTTAGTCCCGCCCCTCGAAAGGCGGGAAGGCTGGGCCGGGTGCAAAGTCCCCAGGTCAGTTTCTGGAACTGGGTGGTCCGGAGAGTTTCGGTCTGATGCAACCTGTGAATCTGATTGTGTTCCCCTGCCTCGGGCCAGTTGGCCTTACATCCCGACATCTTTGGTGTAATGGGGCGGCGTTCTGATCTCTGGCTACTTCACGCTGAATGGGGGCGTCGAAAGGGGAGTCGGGCGACCAGAGGTCCGAGGCTTAGGGGAGACCAGTGGGGGGGGTTCTGTAGGAAGCAAGGTGTAAGGGCCGAGGAGCATTTGGTTTGTGGCCACCCGAGAGACTTCCTCCACGCGCCTGCGAAGGAACCTAAGAAAACAGGGAGCGAGCGTGCTACGAAGAGGGTGCGGTCCGGGTTTGAAAGAGGGGTGTCAAAGAGTCTCTCTCTTGGTGGTTTGAAGGCTTCTATGACATGAGGGCAGGAATGGGATGGAAAACCCCCGGTGCCAGAGATGGGCAGGAGGGAAGCCGGGTTCCGGCGAGGGGAGAGATCAAGAGAAATAGCTGGGTTTTCAATGAACAGTAGGTGGAACTCCTGGATGTGGGAGGGGCCCAGAGGGAGAGAAACTTGTGGCTTAGGAGGTCGACCAGCCGGTGGGAGGAAAACACGGTTAGTGGGTGGGCCAGAGTCAGTTTGAGTGTTTGGTCAGTTCGGCTGCCGCTGCTAGGGCCCGAAGGCATGGTTGCCATCCCCGAATGGTTGGGTCTAGCTGTTTGGAGAGGTAAGCCACGGGGCGGTAGGAAGGCCCTACAGGCTGGGCAAGGAGTCCAGTGGCTATTCGCAGGTTGCAGAGCTATAAGTCCGCACATTCTGTCCTTGAGTAGGCCGATCGGGTAGGTGTATCAGAGAAAACAATTTTTAGCTGTTTATGGCTTCTCCAGAAAATCTTGGGGGTTCAGGTGTAGAGTCTACATGACAGGTTGTCCCTATGTCACCTTGGCCAGCGTACTTCCAACAGTGCCTCCACAGAATTAGGACAGACCTGCACCATTTCCTCATTAGGATGTCTCAGCAGTGATTATTATTACACCCTTAATTTACATCTGAGGAAACTGGGATTCAGAGGTGATAAGTAACTGGCTCAAGGTCACACAGCTAGCAAGTAGCAAGGACCAGCCTTGAACCCAGATTTGTGTTGCTCCACTGTGCCATATAAACCTGCAGCCGGAAACCCTCACTGTGCATTAGAATCTAGTGAAGCATTTAAAAAAATACCTGTGCCCAGTTCTCCTGGTCGAAGATGCCAATCTGATTAGTCTAAGAAAGTCATGGGGCGGTTTAGGAGCTGAACCTAGACTAGAACACAGGCCTAGAGCTGACTCCCAGCCATGTTGCTCTTTCTACTTCAGCAAACTGTGTCCTGCTCTGCCAACTCCCCACCCTTTCCCCCGCCTGACAACACTTTCTACTTTTCCCACAGCCAGTCTCAAGCCTTGTTTTCTCAACCTACCTGACTCTGGCCTACTGGTCTCATAGCATCACATACTTAAGGAATTGCCAGAGAACAAATAATTCTTAAAGCACGTAGTACTGGCTGTACATGCAATAGCACTTAATGGATGGAGGGGAATCCTGGGGCAGACCAGGAAGGCTTCCTGGAGGAGACAGGAACTTGAAGAATAGTCCAAACACTACTGGGAGACACTGCACACTCACCTATCGTTAACGATGACAACAAAATGAAGATCAGTGAAGGAGGACTTCCCCCACCACCAGTGGCCTTGCAGACAGGAACCCAGTTCTATCTCCCCAGCTGCCTACTTCACTGGGTCACAAAAGACTGGGTTTGATGAGGGCCAAAGTGGAGAGAGGATGAAGACACTAGATTCTAGAAAGCATGGAGCTAGTAGGTGCCCATGTTGGGAAGAAGACAAGGAGGAGGATGTGGGCGTAAGGAAGGAATAGAATAATATTAACAGCTGACATTTGGTCTCTGTGCCAGGTGGTGTGCATCAGCTTTACAAACAGAAGTTCACTGAAGCCTCCCAGCCACCCTGTAGGATATTTACCATTTTACAGATGAGAAGACTGAGACTCAGAGCAGTTAACTGACTTAACCAAGGTCATGCAGCTAGGCAGCCCTCCAGCTTACCTGCCTGCCTCCCTTGCCCTGGGGGAAGTGCCTGGAGTGAACCCTTATTGAAAGGGCTCATTGAGAGGGAGGATGGAGAGGAGGACCTACTGCAGTTGGGTCAGATGTGTTGCCTGCAAAGAAAGCCTCCTTGGTCCCTGGCTCCATTCCATTAGCAGACCCATGCTTATCAGAGAATCTGATGGAATCTGAGTCGGAAAGACCAGAAGTAGCTGGACACGGTGGAGATGGGGAATCAGGGACCTGCAAGGAGGCCTGCTGCTCAGGAAACAAGGACTGCCCCCAAGCTCCTCTTAGGGCCCAGGAATCCCTCTTAAACCTCCTCAGGAGCTGCCTCCGGGCCTTCCAGAAGGAGGTGGCAGTGTCCTCTGCAGTCCCCCAAGTCTAGAAGGCAGCCAGCCCCACAACCCTTCCCTCTGTGGCTCAGGATTCAGCCCCACCGACCACAGAGCAGCCCCGGCCTCCTGGCAGGCCCAGAAGTGGAGACAGCAGCTTGGCCTAGTGCCAGGCCCGGGATAACCAGACAGGAACCTTCTCACCTTTCCACGGCAATGGCCACCAGTGTGAAAACAGAAGCTGACACGGACATGCCCTGCACCAAGCCGCTCATCTTGCATGTGGCGTTGTCGAAGGGCCACCCTGCAATGACAGAAGCCACCAGAGTGAGAGATGCCTCATTCGCAGAGAGCCAGAGACCTCCGGCCATCGGGGCCAGTCTCCTCTGGCTTCCATCTTTCCTCCATGTCCTGCCAGGTCGTCATCCTGCCTCTGCTTACACACTTCCAGGAGTGAGGAACTGAGCAGCCAATACCACCGTGGACAGTCCTATTAGAGACAGTCTTTATACTGATCAGCGATTTCTCTCCATGAACTTTAGATCCATCCAGCCCTGCCTGGCTTTCTGCTCCCATAGCCCTGTTCCAGGTTCTAGGCCAGTGGTTCTCAGCCCTGGCTGCTCACTAGAATCAACGGAGAACTTGGAAAAGGACCAGTGCCCAGGCTCACACCAGACAACCGTATTTTCCAAATCTACCCAGGAGATTTGAGTGGCAGCCAAAGTTGAGAACCACTAGGACAGATCAAGCCTGACTGTCAGGCAGGGGGAGGTATAAGCAGCTCTAGCCCCTCCTACCTGATGTCCTCACTCTGATCCCCAAGCTTCTGCTTTCTCATGAGATCTGGGTCCCACCTGCTCTCAGGACTAGTAGCCAGGTCCACATCTTGGCTACCTGAGGCCGTGTGTTGGTAACTGCTTAGTGTTTCTGCCCCTCTAGGCCTGGGGGCAGGGCGGGGGGGCCCACCTTGTTCTTGTCTGTTGTGCCTGCAGACAGGAGTCATCTTCCAAGGCTGGGGTCTTCTTTCACCAACGGCCTCCCCCATGTTGATTTTCTGCCCACACACTTACTAGATGCCAGGCACTGGCTCACTCAATCCTCACAGCAGCCCCATAATTCTCTCCTTTTTACAGATGTGGAACTGAGGGGGAGACTAATTGACTTACAGTCTCTTTGTCCCTATATCACTATGGATTAGTGGTGAGAGTTTGGTCTGGGTGCCAGGGAGTTTAAATGTCACGGAAAGTCAATATTGCGGTAGAGAGCAGCCTGATAGACATGAAAAAAATGTTCAAACCTCATTCATAATTTAAAGAATGCAAATGATATTTGCTGTGGAGAAATAGGAGCTCTCAGACATAGGTGGGAATGAAAACCGATACAGTCCTTCTGGAGGGGAGCTAGGCGATGCCTAAGCTCTGCACTTATCTTTTGATCTGACAATCTCACTCTATCCTGAATATACACCTCTGATGACACAAAATACATATGCACAGAGTTATTCATTGTAGCATTGTTGTAATTGCAAAATATCAGAAACAACCTAAATGCCCATATAAAGAAGTTGTTGAATAAACTATGGTACATCTACACAGAAGAGTATTATACGGCTGTAAAAAAGAATAAGGAAGACCTCTATGAACTGATATGAAGAGGTTTTCAAAATATACTGCTAAATGCAAAAAGCACAGTGCAAGGAGTATCTATAGTATATTACCCTTCATGTAAGAAAGAAGGGGATATAGGAAAATATACACTTATCTGCTTATTTGTACAAAGGAAGTATGGGAAGGTAGATCAGAAAATAATGAGATTGGCTACATATACAGGGAGGCGGTAAGAATGAGGAAGAATGGGGTGGTAGAGATGACAGAGGAGTGACCCTTCTCTGAGTATATCTTTTTGTATGGATCTGACTCCTTAGAATTATGGCAATGTTTCACATCTTCAAAAAATAAGTTAATTAACATCAGGATGTGGGGGAAACCCAAAGTGGGACACAAACAATAACAAATGAACCTAAATGCATTACAAATGAATAAAATAACCACACTGAAGGGGAATGGGGAAGCAAGAAACTAAACTCAGTAACTTTGGAAAACAGTATTTTGACCGTATACTATAAGATTACAAAAATAACTATACACGTACACTATACTCTCATTAATAAATGTGTTTCTCACAAGGGTATGGGTTAGCAATACTGAATCTACCTTATGTGTATACCAAGATTGAACAAATAAGTAAATATATTGTGGATAAATAGAGTTAGATTTCTCACTGTTACAGAAAGAAGTTACAGGTGAGGAAAAGAGGAAAGTTAAAATGATCCTGTAATATTAGATTGGAATCAGAGGCATAATAGTTTTCAATATACCTACAGATGGATAGATATAGAAATAAAGATGCACATGTTAAGTATGTGTGTGTTAGCACACATATACTTCCTAGCTCTGTCCCTCGAGAGGGCCTAGAAGCAATGAAACCCCAGTGCCAACGATCACATCTAGTGCCAAGGTCTTGGTTTCTAAATGTCATTCTCCAATATAAGGAACCAGACCTTCTTAGAGAAATTGTTGATTGATTCCAGGGCTGGAGCAGGGAACATACAAGGTGAGCCTGGAACACTTTATGGTGCCAGAAAGTAAGGAGAGACTAAAAAAAATCCATGGTGGCATGTCAAAAGGACACAGGAGACAAATTGAAAGAGCTCCCAATAGTCAAAACTGGGGCAATTTAAGCAACACAATAATGGTAAAACTGGGTTATAACCCATAGAGTAAAATAAATGTAGGGGGAATGATGTTAAGTAGAAGATCAACACTGAGGAAATATAACAGTAATAACTGTTGCAGGCAGGAACCATCCAATGGATGCTCTTAGTGAGTAAAAGTATAGTGAGAAACAAGGCATTTGCATAGTCTCAAAGTATCTCCCTATGAGATACTTATTAATTATAAAGGGGAAAATGGTAGCTTTATAATGGAAAAATGTGGCAGACACCACATTAACCAAGTGATCAACATTAACACCACCATTAATACGTATTGATAGTGTGTGCCTTATCAATATGTCTTCTGTAGTATTCTCATCAAATATGCATAAACTAAATCTAATTGTAAGAAAACATAAGGCAAACCCAAGTTTCTGGGGTTTCTGCAGAATAACTGATCAGTATTCTTCAAACACGTCAAGGTCAGGAAAGTCCAGAACCAAGGAACAGTCACAGGTTGGAGAAAACAAACAAACAAAAAACAGATACAATGTATGGCCCTCAGTTGGATCCTGGACTAGAAAAGGACTCCAGGGGACTCCTTTGTGGGGAAAGGAGTGAAATTCAAATAAAGTATGCAGATTAGTTAATAGTATTGTATCAATGCTAATTTCCAGGTTTCAATCATTATACTATGGTTATTTAGGATATTAACATTAAGGGCAGTTAGAATGGGCATCATCAGAAAATCTAACAAACAACAAATGCTGGAGAGGGTTTGGAGAAAAGGAAACCCTCTTGCACTATTGGTGGGAATGTAAATTGATACAGCCACTATGGAGAACAGTATGGAGGTTCCTTAAAAAACTAAAAATAGAACTACCATATGACCCAGCAATCCCACTACTGGGCATATACCCAGAGAAAGCCATAATTCAAAATGACACATGCACCCCAGGTCTTCCCTGATGGAGCAGTGGTTAAGAATCCACCTGCTAATGCAGGGGACACGGGTTCAAGCCCTGGTCCAGGAAGATCCCACATGTCGGGGAGCAACTAAGCCCACGCGTCACAACTACTGAGCCTGCCCTCTAGAGCCCAGGAGCCACAACTACTGAGCCCACATGCCACAACTACTGAAGCCTTCGTGCCTAGAGCCCGTACTCCTCAACAAGAGAAGCCACTGCAATGAGAAGCCCGCACACCACAAAGAAGAGTAGCCCCTGCTCACCGCAACTAGAGAAAACCGGTGTGAAGCAACGAAGACCCAACACAGCCAATAATTAATTATTTTTAAAAAGACACATGCACTCCAATGTTCATTGCAGCACTATTTACAATAGCCAGGTCATGGAAGTAACCTGTGTCCATCAACAGAGGAATGGATAAAGAAGATGTAGTACATATATACAATGGGATATTACTCAGCCATAAAAAGGAATGAAATTGGGTCATTTGTACAAACGTGGATGGACCTAGAGACTGTCATACAGAGTGAAGTAAGTCAGAAAGAGAAAAACAAATATCGTATATTAATGCATATATGTGGAATCTAGAAAAATGGTACAGATGAACCAGTTTGCAAGGCAGAAATAGAGACACAGATGTAGAAAACACAGGTATGGACACCAAGCAAGGAAAGCAGGGGGTGGGGGGCGGGTGGTGGGATGAATTGGGAGGTTGGGATTGACATATATACACTAATATGTATAAAATAGATAACTAATAAGAACCTGCTGTATAAAATATAAATAAAAGAAATTTAAAAGAAATAAAAGCTTAATCTCCTCCAGAGAAAAGAAAATAATAATTACATTAAGGGAAGGTAGGTGAAGAGTATACAGGAACACTCTACCATTTTTGCAACTTTTCGGTACATCTATCTAAAATTATTTCAAAATAGAAAGTAAAAGAAAGCAAAACAAAACACACCCAGATTCAAAAGGCTACATACTGTATGATTCCATTTATATAATATTCTTGCAAAGGCAAAACGATATTTTCTGTCCCTACAGGAAAACAGACCAATGGTGCCAGGGAGCAGAGGGAAGAAGCAACTACAAAGGAACAAGGGGGAGTTTTGGGGGACAATGAAGTTGTTCTATATCTTGATTGTAACTACATGACTGTATATGTTTGTCAAAACTTGTGGAACTGTACACTAAAAAGGGTGGGCTTTTTGTATGTTAAATTATACCTTAACAAAATATTTAAATGTAAAACATGCACACATGTACAATGCACATTTTGTAAGAATGCATGCAAATCACAAACATTACATTTAATAGAATGTTTGCCTGTCAGTGGGGGAGGGGGTTTGGAGTGGGGTAAGGGTACAGAAGGGAATGAATAAAGATACACAAGGGGCTTCCCAACACAGTGAAGTCACATAGTGCCAGGAACAGTGGATGCGAACAATTCAACTCTCTGCACCTGAATTCAAAAAAACAGAAACAAAGACAAAGAAAGAAAAGCTATGTGAAGTTTTCTTTTCTTGCAGAAGATTCTATTAGAAACAACGTAAATACCCATCAAAAAGAGATTGGTTAAATAAATTGTAGTACATCTATACAATGGAATTCTAAACAGTTGTAAAAAAAGAATAAAAACCTCTTTCATTTATTAGTATGGAGTAACTTACTCTATGTAAGTTAATTTTAAAGAATCCTATTTACAAATTACATTTTTAAGCAGGGAAAAAGTAAAGGTGCAGAACTGACTGGTTAGAAAGTTAGCATTTCCTTAATTTGCTTGTACTTATATAAAATATTTTTGGAAAGTGCTTGTACTTACACAAAGTATTTTGGGGAAGACATACAAGACACGGGCAGCATCGGTTCCCTCCCAGGAGAGAGCTGGAAGGCCAGAGCACAGGGGTGGAAGGAACACTTTTCACTGGATACCTTTTGTTAGCTTTTGACCATTGAACCATGTGAATGTGTTGTCAATTTAAACAATTTTTTAAATTTACACATGTGAAAAGGACCGGCAGACAACACCTTAACCCACTAGTGACCTCACCATATCATTGTTAACTGGTGTGTGTGTGCGTGCGTGCGCCTGTATGTGTGTGCACCTCTGCACGTGTGTGCATGCATGCATATGTTTGCCTATGTGTTTTGGGAAGAAGGATGCAGTTTCTGTTCAGCAGCCCTGAAAGAACCTGGGATTCAGCTGTGATTAAAGATCCCACCAGGCACAGCCAGTACAGCCGACGGGAAGCTGGCAGCCCCGGCTCCACTTCCTGGGTCCTGGAACCGACAGAAACATAGGCTGCTAGTCCCCCAGCTTCAAGTCAGCTAAGTCACTCCATATGGGGCTGTCCATTTGAATCCTGAGTTCCTGGGAGCTCTGAGCTCAGAACCTGCAGGTGCAGACCTCTAGGGGTCTCCACAGCTCTGGAAACTAGTCCTTCCCACCAGTTAGTCTGTGGAGGCTTATTCTGAAGTAAGAAAGGCGAATCACAGGAGAGAATAGATGACAGTAGGATCCTTCTGATATTTGCAGGATGATAGGCAGGAATTTAGCGGTCGGTTGGTCTAGTTCTGCTTGGATCCCTTCTACAAAATCCCTGCTAAACAGCCAGCCAGTCCCTACTTAGACACTCCCAGTGACAGGGAGCACAATACCTGTACGAGAGAACACTCTTTTGTTGGAAAACAACTCAAATAAGTTTTTAGGTCCTTATTCAGAAGAAACCTGCCTCCCTCCCGCTTCTTCCCGCTGGTTCTAGTTCTGCCCAAGGGAGCTGCCTGGGAGAGTAGGATTGAACAGTGTAGTGGTTAGAAATATAGATGTGTGAATGTGGGACTTGACGCTTAGCTGTGTAAACTACAGACCTGCCCCTCAGTCACCCTGCACATCAGTTTTCTCATCCACACGCCGGGGATAACAGTAACGCGCACTTCATTGGACTGTTGTGAGGATTAGTTAAGATCATGCAGGAAGAGTAAATCACACAACGCCTGGAACATAGAAAATGATTAATTCATTACATCTGTTATTTCTAGTCGAATCCCTCAGCCACAAGGCTGTCCTGAGATTTTGAGACAATGGCATCTCGGCCAAGAGACCAGGCCAGCCATGATTTCAGGGGTAGGGGTACTCCTGCTGCCTCTAGTGCTTCCACTCACCAGTGATGAGGTTGTCCACAAGGGTGGTGGGCATGCAGAAAATGCCCACCAGCAGGTCGCTGACGGCCAGGTTGAGGATAAACATGTTGGTGACGGTGCACATGTGCCGGTTCTTGAGCACAATGAAGCAGACCAGGGTGTTGCCCACCATGCAGAGGAGGAAGATGAGCACGTAGGCCACAATGAACACGGCAGCCACCAGGGAGGAGTGCTGGTAGTAGGAGGAGAAGGTGAGGTTTGCAGCAGTGTTGGCCTCGGCATCACTCCCATTCTGGCATGGGGGCCGGCTGCTGTTGGAAGGCTGGGAGGGCTCCCCTAGGAGCAAAGGAGCACACGGGTCAGGACCCCAGGCGAAGAAGAGATGACTGACTTCTCACCGCTGGCGAGATCCTTCTGCGCTCCAAACCCTGCCCCTGCCCTAACACCCAGATCATGTACTCAACTCCAACTGCAACTGGATGCACTGATGCAAGACTTCTACCCCACAGCCACTCAAACCCTGATCTCACACCTCCCGCCCCGTCTTGTCCACCACTCACTTCATTTCCCAATGTTGGCTCTTCTCCATTTGCAGACAATCCCCCTCTGCCCCATCTAGCCTCCATCCTTCTCAGCCCTGCTCTCTGCCCCGGAGGCTGACTTCTCAGCACTACATTACATCAGGACTGTATGACCCAAGTTCCCTTGCGCTCTGGGTTGTTTGCTTGTTTGTTTGTTTGTTTACTGGCATATAGTTGATTTACAATGTTCTGTTAGTTTCTGCTGTACAGCAAAGGGAGTCAGTTATACGTATACATATATCCACTCTTTTTTAGATTCTATTCCCTGCCCTCTGGTTTTTGACTGGGTTCAGCCAATGGGAGGCACTGAAGGAGCTTGAAGGAATGGAGGAGAGAGAAATCAGGGTATTCATCTCCTGACTCCGTCCCTGCCTGGACCAGGTCTCCTGTGGGGCTGTCTTTATGGGCACAGCTCCTGCTGGGTGACTCCTCTCCCATGGCTCCAGCTCTTGCAGAGCCACAGTGACACCGTTCCCTCTCTGCACTGACCGCTTCCTGTGACTGCCAGTCGCTGGGTGAGTCACCATCCCATGCTGGTTCTCTTGCCTTCCACTACCCACTGTAAAGTCTCTCTATTAAACTCTCTTCTGTTAAATCCTTTCTGAGTGCACCACGTGTTTTCTTCTGGGATCCTATCAGACCCTCAAAATCTTTGCTATCCCTCATCATCATGTCCACAGAACTTTAGTTGGGGAAGGCAAGAAGGCCGTAGAGGGAGAGCGAGCGCAAGGGGACTCTGAACCAGGGCTGAGGATCAAAGAAAGCACGCGTTAAATTCTCCGGAAGACCATCGGAAGCCAAGGCCACCACCCATCCTTTGCCTCCTCCCATGCTGGTGTCAGCTGCCTCATTTGCACAGCGTTTAACAAAGCGCTTCCGTGTCTGTTATTTGGTCTAACCCTCCCCGTTACCCCGTGAGGTAAACAGGTTAGGTATTAGCCCCGTTTGAAATGGGAGAACTGGGATCAGAGGGTTTCCCGGACTCAAGGGGACACAGGAGTCTGCAACAGAGTTGGCCCTGCTCCGTGTGTCTCTAATTCATCCCAGGCTTCAGTGTGTGTCTCTCTAGACACGTATGGAAGGGAGTGGCTGAGTGTCCAACCACAGCTCTTCTGGGAAGTCACTAGTTATGGTGACTCATGATGTCGTCTTGTAAACTCTCCTCCTGCCTTCCTCTGGGACTGAATGTGGCCTGTTCCAGGAGATGAGGAGTCTTTAGGGGAATCTTCTGTTGCATCCAGAGCTCAGCCACTGGCCTGGAGGATGGCCAGAGGCTTGGGACCTGGAGGCTAGAAAGACCCTGGGGGAGCACAGGCCGATGACCTGGCACAGTGGGGACAACAGGGACCAGCAGGTGCAGCGGGGCACTCAGGAGGGGGGTGGAGGGACTGCCGGTGGAGGGGGAGAAGCTGGAAGTTTTGGGTGCACAGTGAGAAGAGGAAATGATATTCCGCTGCTTAGGCCCTCCAGGGGCAGCCAGTTGTACCCAAACATCTCTATTTTAATATGTCAAACGTACAAGAGAGCATGTAATAGTGAATATATACAAGAGTATATAGTTTAATGAACCATGACAAGAGAGAAGAGTATAAAGAACCCCCATGTATACATCATCCACCTTCAACAATTACCATCTCAAGGCCAATTTTGTTTCATCCATACCCACACCTCTCTTTGGATTATTCTGAGGCACAATCACGTCACTTCCTTTCATTCATAAATGTTTCAGATTGTATCTCTAAAAATTAGGACTCAAGAAAAATCCATAACCCAGTATCATTATCACACCTAACAAAATTAACCATTATGTCACAATATTATCAATTATCCAGCATTCAAAATTCCCTCATTGTTACAGAATTTTTTAAATAATTGGTTTGTTTGAGTGAGGATCCAAACAAGGTTTCTGTTTCTATTCCGTATTATGTGGTGAACCCCCCCAAAATCTCGTGACATCGCACTGTGCCTTAGGAATCTGAGTGGCCCTTCTGCAGGTCTTGTGGCCTCTCATCTTCCAAGAGGCTAGACTGGGCTTTTTTTTTTTTTTTTTTTGCGATACGCGTACCTCTCACTGTTGCGGTCTCTCCCGTTGCGGAGCACAGGCTCTGGACGCGCAGGCTCAATGGCCATGGCTCACGGGCCCAGCCGCTCCGCGGCATGTGGGATCTTCCTGGACCGGGGCACGAACCCGTGTCCCCTGAATCAGCAGGCAGACTCTCAACCACTGCGCCACCAGGGAAGCCCTAAACTGGGCTTTTTCATGAGAGGCTAGCTTGCCGGTCTCAGGGTTCCAAGACAACCAGGGAAGAAGCCACAGGCTTCTTAAGATCTAAGCTCCAGAACTTTCATATCATCACTTCTGCCACATTCTATTGGCCAAGGCAAGTCACAAAGTCAACCCAGATTCAAGCCAAAGGAGAAACGTTTCCCACCTCTTGATAGAAGGAGTGGCAATGTTACATTGCAAAAGGGGTGTGGAGCAGGAATCGTGATTCATGGAGGTCTGTTGTTGTAAAATCTATCGCCATCTCCGCATTGCACTTGGTGAATGTGGCTCTTAAGTCTCTCTTAGTTTCTAGGTTTTCCCTCTGTTTCTTTTTGGCCTCCTGCAATTTATTTGTCGTATAAATGTCTGGGTCATTTGTCTGTAGAATTTCTCACAGACTGGATTTTGCTGATTGTTCCCTCTTGGTGTCATTTTACACATTCTACTCTGTCCCCTGCATTTCCTATAAATGATAATTAGATCTAGAGGCTTGATCTGATCATGTCTGGTGGTCTCTCTCTTTCTCTCTTTTTTTTTTTTTTTTTGCCACGCGACTTGCAGAATTCTGGGCTGCGGCAGTGAAAACTTTTTTTTTTTTTGCGGTACGCGGGCCTCTCACTGTTGTGGCCTCTCCCGTTGCGGAGCACAGGCTCTGGATGCGCAGGCTCAGTGGCTGTGGCTCACGGGCCCAGCCGCTCCGCGGCATGTGGGATCTTCCCAGACCGGGGCACGAACCCATGTCCCCTGCATCGGCAGGCGGACTCTCAACCACTGCGCCACCAGGGAAGCCCTAGGTGGTCTGTTTCTTAATGCTAAGGTTGATCAGTGGGCTTAGCTGATGTCAGCCTGATCCCTCCACTGTCAAGTTCCCCATGAGCTTTTCACCAATGTTTTCAACAGGAGCCACTAACAATTATTGCCTAGACTCCTCATTGCATCTCGAATACAATCCAAACTCTTTACTGCATGGTCTGATTCCTGTTGTCATCACTGGCCTCACCCCCTGCTACTCTCCCCTTTGCCCTTTGTGCTCTGGTCACCTCGTGATGCCTCCAACACATTCTTGCTCTTTCCAATCTCAATGCCTTTATCTCTTTCGATTCCCTCTGCCTCTTCCCCTCCTTTAGCTTTCAATTAAACATTGTCTTCTCGGAGAAGCCTGTACCCGATTACTCTATTTAATTTAGGTGCCCCACTATTATCTCTCACAGCATCCTGCTTATTTTCTTCAATCTGCCGATATTTTATTTGTTTCCAGGTTTATTGGTTTTTTCCTCCACCTTTGAAAGTCAGGTCCTGGAGAGCAGGGATCTTCACTCTTTCGTTGGTGGTCATATCCCCAGCATCTCGTCAGGGCCTGACAATTGTAAATGCTTTACTAAATAGTTGTTGAACGGATAAATATTTGTATGAGGAGAAAAAGGAAGGAAAGACAAATCCTGACATCAGGTGACAGGGTCCTGCTCAAGGCTGGCATTTCTGGTATTGGAAGGCCTTCTCCAGGGTCCTCTGGAAAGAACCCCCCATCACAGAGTCTGCTGGGAGCCTCCCTAGATAGCTCACCCTTGATGAGCCTCAAACTCAACTCGCATGACTTGGGGAAATCTGTGGGTGTGGATGGGTAGAGGGAATTGTCTGAACCTGCCCAGCTAAACTCTAGTCTGCCTGTTTCCCCCACTGCCTTTCATTTGGCCCTGAGAAGTCTGGGAGCAACCCTGCCCATCCCTGGACCCTGAGCCTGAGCATCAGTCTCTATACTTAGGCCAGTTTCTGGCATTTATTCTCAAGGAGGAAAAACTGCTTCCTATTCCTGGCAACACCCCTGGCCTGTGGTGAGATGGGTTGGAGGCAGGCAGGCCTCCCACCCGACCTGGGCCCCAAGCCAGCAGCCGGAGACCTCATTAACAACTGGCCTCGTCCTTCCTGGGATCTGCCTGGTGCCTTTGTGGATACACTACAGCCTGTGAAAATTTCATCCGCTGAACCCAATTGAGCCATTCCTCTACTCGGGGAGCTTCCTGGAGGTCTCAGGGTATAATAATGGTTATCTCCAGGGCATTCTGATGATCTCAGAGATCAAGCTGTGAGCCACTGAAAGTTTGGGGCCAGAGAGAAGATGGGGGTGCACTGGTTCTCAGTGTGTGGTCCCCCCCCAGCAGCATCAGCTTCGCCAGGAACTTGCTAGAAATGCAGATTCTCAGGAATCACCCCCGATCTAGGGAACCAGAAACTCCACGGAACCAGAAACCAGGTATCTCTGTTTTAACGCATCCTCCAGGTGATTCTGATGGACACTCCAGTCTGGGAACCACAGATAAAGGAGTTGGACCAAAGACCCTGAAGGTAGTGGATGCACACAGACTGCGAAATCCCAGTTCTCCTTCCTGGTGACTTCAGGCAATGGATGGAATATCTGTGTCTCCTCAAAATTCATATGCTATAACCTTTTCCCCAGTGTGATGGTATTTGGAAGTAGGGCCTTTGGGAGG